AAATTCAAAACAAATAACTCGGTTTCTTACATTATGTAAACAGAGTATTAAACACGCTATACACAATAAAATTTATTTATCGAGCTCACGAGAGCAATAAATACATCAGAAGAGCCCAATTTTTATGGGTCGCTTAAGTATAATACAAATATCACAGCATTTTAATTGAGCACATGAGAAGTATTTTATGATGCCACTGGCATCATCTATTAATTCAGTAGGACTGAAATTTCTTTATATGGCATTTTTCATAGACTATAACCCACAGCAGGTCTGAAGTTTTCTTATACATTGGCATCCATGTACAGGAAATAACGTACAGTAGGACGTGAGTTTGTAGTTTATTTATATAGCAATTTTTTTTCCCAGAATGTGAAGAACTCTTTGTTTTGCGAGAGTCAGGGAGACTTCCCACATCTTCTAGTTGATTTTCTTTTATGTAATGCTAACAGCAGTGAGAGACTACACGGCTCCTGGAGGTTACCTGGAAGTTATTCCGGGAATCAACGCCCTCGCGGCCCGGTCCATGACCAGGCCTCCCTCGCGTGGGTTTACCTTTCTACTCTCTTAAATTCAACAGCTCTGGCCATGAAGTAATAAATAATAAAAACCGAACGCCAGATTCTGAAATTTGTTCTTTTGTTCCTTAAATCACAACGATATTAAATTTGACGTTTACCGAGCGCTGAGCTGTAAGAGGATATACTAAAGAGAGTGATTATATCGTCCATAATTTTCCCGGCGTCCTTTAGGAGTGAGGAAACATACTACATCATCATCATCATCATCATCATCATCGATGGAGCACAAAATTTCCGAGCCTCACCAAACTGCGGTACAACAGCGTCTCGGTAGCGGCACGACAGGACATTATTACCCATCAGCTCTTGTGGCAACACCGAGCCTGATGTTCATTCAGTCTTTCATAGGGGATCAATCCATATGGAATCTTTAGAACAATAATAACTCTGTAATTGACATGACTATGCTGGTGTTCTACGAGCTAGACCATTGGAGTACGCTGGGCAGGATGCTGTGGATGTTTCTGCATCGTTTCAGGATTTTCTAGGATCTGGTGCAGATATTCGAGATTCACTGGCGGATCTTTGGGCATATTAGGGTGCCGGTTCCTCAGGTTATCCATTTGGTTGTTTGTAATTTTATCCTTTCCGTCTGGGATTACTTTGGGTGGATCTTGTCGAGTCTGAGCGTTGAATAGTCTGGAATCCGACAGCCGTGTCATCAGTTCATAGAACCTGGCATGGCTCAAGTGACCCTTCAAGCGGTACAAGAGGTAAATATCACCAATCTTACAGTTCTTTGCCACTGCATGTATGACCATTCCAACTTTACTGCTGGCATGGGCTGGCTTGGCAGTGCGGAGAAGGTAAACTCGCACGTAGGGAACCCACATTAAGATGAGGAAGATAATGTAGCAACAGGTGACGAAGGTCAGGAAGATCATCCACACCCACAAGATCAGAAATACCTTCTCGTACAGCTCCATAATAGTGAGGTGACATCCAAGCTTCTCTATTCGCCTATTTACCAGTTGGTGTTCACGACTAATCTCACAGGAGACGAATGGGGGAAATGTCTGTGACATGTAATCTGTGAACCTCTGAGGGTCTCTGATAAATGGATAAGATTTAAAGCCATACTGAATAAATCGTCCCTGAAGTATGAAATCAAAGTAATGCATAGCAAAAATGTCAACAAATAATGCCAATACATTGACAGAAAGATATTTCCAGTAGAGGCCATTGTGAGTATTGAGATTAAAGATGATATATCTGGCGGCTCTCTCCACCAGTTCTTGTTCAGCCTGGTCATATCTGTGAGCGTTGGCGGCAAGGTCTTCTAAAAGTTTCTTGCATCTTGCGTTGTCGAAGTTCTTAGATACTTTACGTGGGATGTAATACACTTGTGCCAGGATGAAAAAGGACCAAGCTATCCAGCGGTAGAAGAGTATGTATCTCCTGGAACTGTCGTTTTCAACATAAGGGTATGAGAGACAAATGTTGACGTAGTCGAGGCGGACCTGAGTGTCTGCGTTGAAGTGCGACACGCATGTGATGACTTCACGGTGATACCTGCCGAGTAAATATGACAAATGTAATAATGAAAACATAGACTTGGTCAAAATGCATTAAAATAATGATGGCGGATTGCAATGGAAAAAACAGGTGTTCTGTAAAATAAATATGAATATCGCAATAGTAGACCTTAAAACTGTTAACTTTGTTTGCTGCGCTTCGCTCTTAGTACATGAGGCTAAAGAAGTGCGGGAAAATCAATCTTCCAACTGAGGAAGTGAACATAGCATCGTAGTACCTCCGGTATGTGGGCAGGTCTCAAGCCCCTTTATTATCCAGCAATAATGGAATGGAATGGAGCGCCTGAACAAGTCAAGGAGAGTCTTAAACCACTTCAGGAAGAAAGCTAATGAATGAAGCTAAAGAAAGGATGAAAGTAATTTCTTGTATAGTTAACAATCCTGAACCTGGAGTACACCTGGAGAGGGTTTCAGGGGGTCAACCCCCCCTTCAGCCCGGTCTGAGACCAGGCCTCATATATTAAACTGATTTTCTCTATTGTCGTGGCTGCTAATACCACGATACTGCAAGATCCCCAATGGAAATAAGCCGCATTTTCTTACGTTATTTATTATCATATATAATTTGCCCTTATGTTATTATGTAAAACAATTATAATCATCCAAATCTTTTGTCATTTTCCTTACGTGTATTGTACCTATATAAAGATGCATTCAGAATGGTCATAAAACAACAGGTGGTTAAGGAGGAAGTAGTGGGTGAGAGATGAAGACTTACCAGGAGTACCACACCGTGAGGAAACCACCCAGCAGGACACAGAAGGTCCAGCGGTAGTGCATCCTGAGGACGAGACCGTCGCAGGTGGCAGCACATACCTGGTTGGCTCTTGTTTTGAAAAAGTTAAAGACAGTGCTCAGTATGGTGCGCACATCGACGGCGGTGGGCATCCTTGCTCCTGCGAGAGATGCCAAAAGTCATTAATGAGAAAAATAGCAGGAAAATAAAATGAATTAAAGTATTGTCTTAGTAACTCAGGAATCTTGATCCTCCGACAACCCAGATATATATTGTCTCAGTACTTGTCAGTTTATGGACCAGGCATCCCAGCTGCTGCTGCTGGCCTGATCAGTTAGGCTGTTGGTGCTAGCAGATATTAATAATTCTAATTTAACAGTGCATAAATGTTCACAATAAAGATAATAAATTCCTTGGATTCATATCAGGAATGGAAACACCGAAGTCATACTTCTCTTTACCTATCACTGGTAAAGCAATACTTAATTAAAACATTCAAATCTCATCTCCTTAAAACAGTAGGAACAGAAATGAGCTGGAAAAACATATTTGCTCATCCCAGAGTAAAAAAATACAACAAATTTTCCTTGACACATTGTATTGCATCATACACAGGCTTCATCATACAAGGAAAAGCCTAGTCGTGAGGTGTATTTCGATAAGTATGTTGAAGAGTATTCTTGCTACTTTCTTTACTTAAATATCTTCATAGGAATCCAAAATTTCACCATGAACAAGTATGCAATTTTTATTCAATTTTTTACTAACCAAAACTCACACGTAATTACTACATCTAATTTGGCTACTTTCTGTAGGATCTAGTATATAGATCACGTAGTTTTAGGTAGACATGCTTATATCAAGCATTTGTCTAATAATGCAGTGATAGGGTGAAGCACTACCGCCCTGCCACACGTGTGTGAAATGGAAGCCTGACAAATGTTTTGCACTCTGGAAAGATTGCTGGCCTTTTTTCTGGCTCATAATCACGTAAACCGTAAATACTTCTACTTGCATTCAGTAAACGTTTGCCAGTATGTTTCTTAACAGTTTTTATTTCTTCAATGTTTTCTTTATTATTAATGAAGGGTGGTATGAGACCGAGTCGCATGAGCGATGATCCCTGGAACCAGTGCTGGATACCCTGAATCTCATCCTACCACTGTATACGAGACAAAAAAAATTAACCCTGGAGGTCTTTGGTGTTGGTTCCAGGAGAGAAACATAAAATTCATAGGTGGTTCACCTTCACAACTTTGATCCACATAAGACCTTATTTAATCTGTTGCTTTACTGTTATAACGTGAGCAAATTTTATACCACCACATCTCTGCACTTAGGTCATAAATATGCGCTGTGTAGGCTATTCCAAATTTCACGTAAATGAACATTATATGAGGCCCAGCTTCTAAAACCTAATACGAGCCATAGTCTTGAGAATAAAATCCACACAATTTTCAACAGTCAAAAATAACCAAAGTCTGTACAAACGAAACAAAAATATTAATGAAAATATATAAATTGTTTATACTAAACTGCCAACGAGCTTGCAAGAAATTATTTTATCCCTTCAGTGTCAACCAGGCATGGGCACGACGCTACTAATAACTTAGAAAACAAATATACATTCATGTCTTGTAGGCAAAGGCACTTTAATAGTGCGGTTACGTAAAACCTCTATTTATATCTGGCTTAATTAACACTACAGCACTGCCATAATCACTTGGCAAATTTTGCGAGCACCGTGAAGGTGAGGTAACACAAAGAAAAGATCACTTACTGAATTAAATGAGTTGGTGATATTGGTATGAGCGCACACGCTCACCTCCCGAGACACACTGAACAGACACTGGATAGCTCTGAGCATCCTCGAGACGGGGGATTACCACTCACTGTGTTTCCTACAAGCATGATGCAACCGGGGTAAATCTCCCCAGTTCTTTTCGTGGTGCATCAGTGAATATATTGCATTCCGGGAATAAACTCGAGGACAAGGAACACTGCAGTTCTAACTCATTTAAATCCTGTTCCAGAAGTTATTTTTCTTCAGTTATCCAGCCTTAGTATTATTATTACATTTCTCACATTATCACGAACAACCATTCCTTGACAATGTGAGAAGTCATGAAAACACTTCGTAATATATATATATATATATATATATATATATATATATATATATATATATATATATATAATATATATATATATATATATATATATTATATATATATATATATATATATATATATATATATATATATATATATATATATATATATATAAATATATAATATATTTATATATATCATATACTATAATATATATATATTATTATATAAATATATATATATAATATATATATATATATATAATATTATATTTATATATATATATATATATACTATATAATGGTTCACCTCTTGTGCAGTATATGGAGTCCTTAGCCTCGGAGAAGTAAATGAAATGTTTTCAGAAGAGTTTAAAGACCTTCCTGGAATTCATCTGAGGACTAGTTTTCTCCTCCTTTGTAAGTATATATGATGCAATCGCAGACAGGTGATCTTAGCAATACAAGCCACGGGGGATGGAAATCTTCAGCTCTAGTACTCTCACACATCTCCGTGCGATATCAGGAGCTATGTAATGTTGCAAGGGTATCAACAGGAGGAATGAGGGTAAATTTTCTCAGAGCAGGTTAACGTGGTGACAGCAGCCATATCCACTCAGATCTGGTGACAGGCACCGTTAATCACCCAGGTATCCCGCCCCCTTACACCCCTCCTCATATGGGGTAGGGTAGAGAGGCCCTCCGAGGTTTACAGAAATCGGGAAACCGCCTTCCGATATCCTCAGTATCAATTACTGAAGACCTAATATCCTAACAATTCACGAATTTTCCAGTTGTCCTTGATCACCTAACATCCTTACTCTGTTGAGTTGTTGCTCACTAAGCTAGTTGCAGTTGCCATGTTGAAGTCACTAACTGTATCCACTTAACCTTGTGTACCTATAACTGTACGGTACATTTATGGAGCTGTACTAAATGTGTTTGTATTATACCGATGGGCAGGGCACTTTCCCCATGGGCGAAACGTGCAAGATAGGTGCGGGAGAGTGCTGGTCTAACATCAGATCCTCACGAGGCTCCGTGGCATAATGAGCAATCCTGCGATTTTCTATAGCACTGTTGCTTAAGGTTGTGCACAATAGGCTCCACTAAATAGTTATCGAGTTTGTACAACCCATAACTCTATAAGGTATTCCTATCATGTTTCAAGAGCGAAGATTCAATTATGTTTCTCTCCATGATGGAATTGTTGGGCACAATGATCTGGGGAACAGCCCACCCCGGTGAGTGGACTGGCCTGGCCTGATTGAGTACTGAAGTTGGGCTAATCTGGTTTCCAGAGGTTTACCAGTTTGTCCAATATATGAAAGAGGGCAAAGAGTTGATGGGACCTTTTAAACACCACCAAAGCTATTAGACGGCTTGCTCTTAATCAACCTCTGTTTCACTGTCCCATTGTTTTCGAAGGCACTGTTTATATTGAACTTTTTTTTAGTGCCTCATACAGGCTGACCAAATTCTTATTGTAAGGTAAAATCAGTACATTTTTCATGGCAGACATTTCTTTAGGTTCACTCCTATAGAAAGTCTTCATAGCTGACAGTAGGGCCTTCTCAACGAAATCCTTGGGATATCTCAGTGTTAAATATCCTATTCGTTTCATCTTGTACATACTCAGAGCTGCAGATATGCAAGGCTCTCAAGAACATTGTAAGGAAAACATTCCTTTTAACCCTAGACTCATGACTGGAATAATTGTGATTGTATGACAACACTTTGGTTGACTTCCTGTAAACTGTAAATTTAAATCTTATGTCAACACAATGGATTAAAACATCTAGGAAAGTTACACTGTTGTCTGTTTCGTGCTCCGTTGTGAACTTTAGAAGGTACCAGACCATTGAGTCTAGGTAGGAACTCATCAATATTGTGATCTCTAGGCCAAAGGCTAAGAACATCGTCTGCATATCTGAACCACGTATAGCTTTATTTAGGGAAATTTTTAATCACATAGGTTATTATACTATCTTTATAGAGTATTATACTATCTCTATATTCTTCAATAAGTGAAAAATAAAGCAGATAGTGTTCAAGATAGTGACCATAGGGCTGGCCACATACTTTGCATTTGGTTTGATCATCATCTGTGTGTCTGCCAAACTTCCAGAAGTCCTTGTAAACAAGCCTAAGCCTGGCTACTAAAACATTAGTCAGTCTGGTCACATTGCAAACTGCTCCATAATCTTACTTATCTACATTCAAGTTATCATAGTGAGTGATGCTTCTAATTGCATTCCTATAACATTTCGTTTCATTATTAACCTCTCCCCTACCAAGATTAGATTCTGCATTTTTCTTCAGGTTACTTATTTGTGGCTAAATTATCAACCTCACCCAATGCGCAATGAAATCCACGACAAACCCGGATTCAAGGAGGGGGTGTAAAATAAGACACAATGGCAATATTACGAATATTTAATGAGGATACGTTTCGCCCACAAGGTGCTTTCTCAAACCACTTCAAAGGAACGGAAATGTCTGACTATTTTCATCACTGAAAGCATGTAATCACCTGAGAGGCAATAGCAAGTCCATTACAATACAGGAAGCTCTTCAGGGAGAGTACCTTGATGCTAGTGGAGGTCTCTTGAGCCAAAGAATTGGAGGTACCCTCCTCCTCGTCCCTGGATCAAATCCGTATGTCATTCGTTGTACAAGAATGGTATACAATACCGACAACATGAAATTAAGTCACATGTGCAACACCTGGGTATCTTTATTGTAAACGTTTCGCCATCCAGTGGCTTTATCAATATTGATAAAGCCACTATTATTATTATTATTATTATTATTATTATTATTATTATTATTATTATTATTATTATTATTATTATTATTATTATTATTATTATTATTAAAATAAGAATTAAAGTGAAAGCTCGGTGTATATACACTGGAAAATACACATCTTTCTGTGGAGCATTAAATGATATAAGAACATGAGAAAGAAGGAACACTGCAGCAGGCCTACTGGCCCATGCGAGGCAGGTCCAAGTCTTCTACCAACCTAGCCAGGTCAGGTCACATTCACTTAAGGAAGGAGCAAGGCATCAGTTATTTTCGATACGTTTCGAAAGCCTTCTTCAGTCGAATACAGAGGTGACTGATATAGTAGAGACAGCAGATAGAGTGACGTAAATGTAATGACAGTTATAGGTGTATAATTTCCTGCTGTCCTTATGATTTTGTGTTTAAGCTTTCCCCTCAAGGAAGGTTCCTTGATGTTGGTGAGGGGCTCTTGATTTAGGGAATTGGATCTGTGCTCCAGTTCCCCGAATTAAGCCTGAATGCCTTCCACATCCCCCCTCCCCTGGGCGCTGTATAATCCTACGGGTTTAGCGCTTCCCCCTTGATTATAATAATAATAATAATGTGTTTAAGCTTTGATTATGTTGTATATTAAACGGTTTTATGATGTCTCTCAATGGGGTATCCTGGAGAATATAAACACAAATGCAGTATAAGTCATTTATTGACTACATTTCACCCACGTTTCGCGAAATGTCGTCCATAAAGGATCGCATTATATTGTATTGGTTTAATTTTCATCGTGTCGGCTTCTTAGTCCCGATTTATCTCAATGGGTGATATATTGGGAAGCAATAAGTGCCCGTAAAGTTGACTGAATTAAGGTCCGGATATAAAGTTTCCTGAATGTCCCTGTATGAATGTTGTGATTAAGTGTCCCCATACTGGAAAGTTGCCTGATGTTGGGAGGGGCTCTGATTGTGAATTGGGATCTGTGCTCATAGTTCCCCGATTAAACCTGAATGCCTTGCATATGCCCCTACCTGAGTGGCCTGATTAATTCCCGGGTATGAAAGTTGCCTAAATTAAGAAATAGTATGAAATAGCTAATTTAAGTGTTTAGCTTAATTAGTTGTAATTTAAAAGGGTTGTCTGAGTACCTGAATGGTAGTATCCTGGAGACCTGAAAGTGCACAAATGCAGTATGAAAGTGCCTAATTATGTTGTCCCCAGTATTCCGAAAGTTCCATTAAAGGATCGGATTATAATTGTGAATTGTGTCCTGTTCTAAGTTTGCCAATCAGTGTCCGGTAGTATAAATTGCCTTAATTCAATATGGGGTATCTTATTGGGGAGTTGCCTGAATTAAGTGTCCCCGGAGTACCTGAAAGTTGCCTGAATTAAGTATCCCCGGAGTACCTGAAAGTTGCCTGAATTAAGTATCCCCGAGTACCTGAAAGTTGCCTGAATTAAGTGTCCCCGGAGTACCTGAAAGTTGCCTGAATTAAGTATCCCCGGAGTACCTGAAAGTTGCCTGAATTAAGTATCCCCGGAGTACCTGAAAGTTGCCTGAATTAAGTATCCCCGGAGTACCTAAAAGTTGCCTGAATTAAGTATCCCCGGAGTACCTGAAAGTTGCCTGAATTAAGTGTCCCCGGAGTACCTGAAAGTTGCCTGAATTAAGTGTCCCCGGAGTACCTGAAAGTTGCCTGAATTAAGTGTCCCCGGAGTACCTGAAAGTTGCCTGAATTAAGTGTCCCCGGAGTACCTGAAAGTTGCCTGAATTAAGTATCCCCGGAGTACCTGAAAGTTGCCTGAATTAAGTATCCCCGGAGACCTGAAAGTTGCCTGAATTAAGTATCCCCGGAGTACCTAAAAGTTGCCTGAATTAGATCCCCGGAGTACCTGAAAGTTGCCTGAATTAAGTGTCCCGGAGTACCTGAAAGTTGCTGAATTAAGTGTCCCCGGAGTACCTGAAAGTTGCCTGAATTAAGTGTCCCCGGAGTACCTGAAAGTTGCCTGAATTAAGTGTCCCCGGAGTACCTGAAAGTTGCCTGAATTAAGTGTCCTCGGAGTGCCTGAAAGTTGCCTGAATTAAGTAGTCCCCGGAGTACCTGAAAGTTGCCTGAATTAAGTATCCCCGGAGACCTGAAAGTTGCCTGAATTAAGTATCCCGGAGTACCTGAAAGTTGCCTGAATTAAGTATCCCGGAGTACCTGCAAGTTTGCCTGAATTAAGTATCCCCGGAGTACCTGAAAGTTGCCTGAATTAAGTGTCCCCGGAGTACCTGAAAGTTGCCTGAATTAAGTATCCCCGGAGTACCTGAAAGTTGCCTGAATTAAGTATCCCCGGAGTACCTGAAAGTTGCCTGAATTAAGTATCCCCGGAGTACCTGAAAGTTGCCTGAATTAAGTATCCCCGGAGTACCTGAAAGTTGCCTGAATTAAGTATCCCGGAGTACCTGAAAGTTGCCTGAATTAAGTATCCCGGAGTACCTGAAAGTTGCCTGAATTAAGTATCCCTGGAGTACCTGAAAGTTGCCTGAATTAAGTATCCCTGGAGTACCTGAAAGTTGCCTGAATTAAGTATCCCCGGAGTACCTGAAAGTTGCCTGAATTAAGTATCCCTGGAGTACCTGAAAGTTGCCTGAATTAAGTATCCCCGGAGTACCTGAAAGTTGCCTGAATTAAGTATCCCGGAGTACCTGAAAGTTGCCTGAATTAAGTATCCCCGGAGTACCTGAAAGTTGCCTGAATTAAGTATCCCCGGAGTACCTGAAAGTTGCCTGAATTAAGTATCCCTGGAGTACCTGAAAGTTGCCTGAATTAAGTATCCCTGGAGTACCTGAAAGTTGCTGCAACAAGTTTTCTTCTTGCCATGTTTTCATCTATCAACTGAGATCTTACTGTCCGATTTGCTTCAAATTTTACGACTAGTGTGCTGCAGGTGGAGCGCCAGCACATGCAATTACCGACATGCGAGGCTACCATCTTGTCAATTTCGTGTAGATCGTTCATGGATTTAGTTAATGTGAGATAACTTGAAAAAGCCTCTTCCGGTGGGCTTTAAACTTTCCACATTCGTGCATCACACTTAGAAGAAAAGTTGGATTATTATTAGAGAGTGTGTAGGTGCAATTTTTCAAATCAGGTTTTAAAATGATCGAGTATTTTAAAATGATCGACAGTTTTTTAAATGGTCAAGTATTTTTAAAATGATCGAGTTGAAACTTTTGGTGGGCGAAATGTCTCCTTTATAAATGATTTTAATTATTTGTACTTGTTGAAATGATGGTAAGAATTCAATTGGTTTTGATACTGTAGTCTTGATTTTAGGTTTCTGCAGATTAGTATTTGATTTCTGCTAACAAGAAGTTGCTGTCTGCATACCTCAACTAGATATTTTGCTAACTATAAATGCCTGCATGCTGGGATTCCTGCATCTCTTCGTGTGTGTGACTTGCGGCTTGCTGCTAACTTTCCAGTTCATTCTAATTATCCACGGCTTAGGCCTTTTTTTCTTGTTTATTTATGAGCTTCTTATAGTTACCAGGGTGCCTGTAGGCACCTCGGGGAAATTTTAAGGATCTATCAGTATTCAGTTATTTTTTTTAAATGGTGAGGGATATTTTTCATTATGAATTTATTTTCATTATACATTTTGTGCCAATATTATTTATTTATTTTTTGTTACATCTTGGATCGTGACCGTGAGACCGAGTGATCTCACGACCACGGGACATAAAAATCGAGAGATGCATTTTTCTCAGCATATACATGCTGAGAGTTGAATGTAATCCCTATTTTAGAGATTAAAGCTTTCTTTTCTAGTTATAAAAATGTTACAGGAAGTTTTAATGACTCTTATGCAGTGGACAGGCTTTAAACCCTCATTATCCTTACAGGTCAAAACTCTCTTTAGATTTTACATCTCTTCTGCTGCCTCGTGATCATCAGAACGTCAAGTAACCTTTCACAACCACCCCACACTGTGGAGAGGAATCTGTAGACGATGTTTTGGTTCATCCTCGTCAGTATCAAGTCACAGATCAGGATGGTAATAAACCAGGACGGGGGAAAACGTCGTCTAAAGATTCCACTTCGACTGGGCTAGTTGTGAAATGTTCTAGTTAGCGTATTGTGACTTTAACTAATCTAAGTAACCTTCCTATCACTTTAATTTTCCCAACAACTTTTTTTTTCTTAATCGGAAAAGATACATAATGGTCTTTGGTTTAAAATGAGCTTGTTTTGGGGGAGAGGGGAGGGGGAAGAGGGTAGGGGGGAGGGGGAAGATTCTTCACCCATTATTCACGTGGTGGACGCAGCGATAAATGTTTTTTTTTTTTTACGTGTAAATATGAATGTAGGAAATTACCACCTCTAGTTCTCTAAGAGCTGACCCTTCATCGTCAGAGAAAAAATGTACCCCAGGAAAAAAAAAATTAGATATTTCTTTCCCGGGATTGTTTGAGTATTTTCTTTCCTTAATACTCACCACTTCCGTACAAATTACGTGTGAATTTTCTTTTCTTTTTATTTTTTTCCCAAGGCATAATATAACTCAGCCACACTGACTATCTGATGGGATTCAATTATTTTTTATTCTCACAGGTTGACACAAATTATATATATATATATATATATATATATATATATATATATATATATATATATATATATATATATATTTATATATATATTATATATATATATATATATAATTAAAACCGGAAACTAAATTCAGCTCTACTGCAATTGCAATAATACGAGCAAATGAGACACTTGTGCTATGCAAGGTTATCTCAAGAGAAGAGTTTCACTCATTCAGAGCTCTGACTAAGCTCTCAGTGAGTGAAACGATTCCTACTGAAATGTTCTGGTACTGCCCAAGCGTTTATTACATCGTGCTGGTATATACTTACCAGGTTTCTCTTGCCGTAAGACAATCATTTATACTAAGCTTCATATTGGCTTATTATTATTATTATGAGGAGACGGAAGAGGAGGAGGAGAAGGAAAAGCTAAACCCATATGGGTCAGAGTAGATGGGAAATGGTAGGCAACTATTTTCGGCCTAGGGAAGGAAAAAGCTAATTCCTCTTCCATGAATCAAAGAGTCCTAAGAAGAGCCTTGTGGCAAGGCGATCAAGAGAGACACAGTACTAAAAAACAGTCTTTATTAAAACGTCATACAAAGTACACAATTTCTTATATTCTGTAAACAGTGTATGTCAGGACACGCCCATACAACATAACATTTGGCATTCACTGAGTTCAAAAAAAAGAGAAGAATAATTACATCATTAGAACCCAGTTTTAACACGTCGCTTAATCCTATTGAAATATCACAGCTTTTTTTTACTTTATTGATGCTGATGGAGCGTAAGGCACTTGAACCCTTCCGTAATCTTATTTCCTGTTTAATTTAAGCCTCTCTTGAGGTTTAAAACTAAGTGCGCTAGCGAGGGAATCTGCTTAATTTAATATACTGAAAATGGCTCGTATAAACAGAGCAAGAAAGCAGGAAGGAGGAGGAGAAGAAGGAGAGAGTGAGGGAGATGAAGAAGGAAGGTTGTGGGTGTAGGAAGGGAAAATTCGACCCTACAGCATCGCAAGGTGAACAAATGGAAAAGTTTTTTCCTTATGAATTCTTTAAAAAATATATAGAATTCTAAGGCCGAAGGCTTCAGCGAGGTTCTGTGCTGGAGAAGCACCAGGACACAAGGATCAGGGAGCACCATGTAGCGGGAGCATTAAGGTGCCAGGAACACCACCCACCACCCGAACATCCTCACTCAGGCGAGGGCAAGCTCTTCGTGAGGGAGCTGAAAAGCTCCTCAGATCTGACTGTTGAACACATTAATACGTAATGCCAGCAGCAGGGTCATGCGTTCATTTCCAGTCTCATCACCACCTGTTCCGTGTAGTAATAAATAAATGTTACACAGAACACCCAATTCTGAGATTCATTCGTATGGCCCTTGACTCACGAGAAGGTTATTTTTTTTTCAACATCAGTAATTACATTAGAAAAAGAAAACTGTTCAGTTTCGTAATCACAAAATTTCGTGTTGTAAATAATACGTAAAGTGTGCTGCAGCAATAGTAAGGGAAAAGTCTTTTTGTTCATGTAAAGTACTGGCGTATAAAAGGAATTACTAAAGTTGATATGTCTACAGTTACATGGGAATGCTTGCAGGAATGTGAAACATGATAGTCCGTCTTCAACTCCTCGTGTAGGGTAGTGTCAGCTTGTTATGGCTTGATATGTAATATCAATTGAACACATATTGGGCTCCTTTCTTTTAGTCGTGGGTATAACGTAATTTTCAATGTACACCACTTAACGAGTTGGCAATATAGCTCAACATCACTACGTTTATCGCACAGGTGAATTCATAACGACAGACCTAGAACACCACGCATGATCGATAGATCACAAGATTTTCAAACTTCACACAACTGTAGCACAACAGTGTCTCGGTGGGCACGTCAGCACGTCTTTAGTTCTACGTGTAGCCCTTGGAGTGACATAGATTATGACGCTCAGCCTGTCCAGGGCAACGAAATCTATGATATTTTTTGCACAGTGTCTTTAATTCACACGACTTGACTATTCGATGAGAATGCTAGTGTTTTTCTTGAGCAATGGAGTACGCTGGTCGGGGCTTTGTGGGTGTCTACCCATCATCTCCGGGCTAGCCAAGAGCTGGTGCAGATATTCTGGGTTCATTGGTGGGTCCTGTGGCATGTTTGGGCGCCGGTTCCTTAGGGTATCTGCCTGCTTGTTTGGCGGCATCTTATCCTTGCCATCTGGGATTGTTCCGGGTGGGGCTTGCTGAATCTGCTTGGTGAACAGAGCAGGATCCGACAGCCGTGTCATCAGCTCATAGAACCTGGCATGGCTCAGGTGACCCTTCACGCGATACAGGAGATAAATGTCGCCGATCTTGCAGTTCTTTGCCACTGCATGCACGACCCCTCGGACCTTATCGTTAGCATGGACTGGCTTGGCAGTGCGGAGAAGGTAAGCTCGCACGCAGGGAAGCCACATTAAGAAGAGGAAGACAATGTAGCAACAAGTGACGAAGGTCAGCAAGATCAACCACAGCCACAAGATCAGAAACACCTTCTCGTACAGCTCCATTATTGTGAGGTGACAACCAAACTTTTCTGTACGTTTGTTTACTAGTTGATTTTCAAGAGTAAGCTCACATGAGGCAAATGGAGGGAATGTTTGTGACATGTAATCTGTGAACTTCTGAGGATCTCTGTCAAATGGATAAGAATTAAATCCGTACTGAATAAATCGTCCCTGGAGTATGAAATCCAAGAACTGCATTGCGAAAAGGTCAACTAAGAGTGCTAATACATTGACAAAAAGATATTTCCAATAGAGGCCATTGTGAGTCTTGAGATTAAAGATGATATATCTGGCGGCTCTCTCCACCAGCTCTCGCTCAGCCTGGTCATATCTGTGAGCGTTGGCGGCAAGATCTTCCAAAAGTTTCTTGCATCTTGCGTTGTCGAAGTTCTTGGAGACTTTACGTGGGATGTAATACACTCCAGCTAGGACGAGGAGTGACCACGATATCCAGCGGTAGAAGAGTAAGTATCTCTTGGAACCATTATCTTCGATGTAAGGGTATGAGAGACAAATATTGATGTAGTCGAGGCGGACCTGAGTCTCAGCGTTGAAGTGCGACACGCACGTGATGACATCACGATGATACCTGCAAAGAAAAAAAAAACATATGTAATTACAATATAGGCTTATTGAATATATACTAAAATAAATCATGACAGCTAAACATTTATTAAAAATTGACGATGTATTTCTTTTCATTTTAATTACACGAAATTGTACAGTATACGGTTAATGTAACTCAGAATTTTTATCTGTGTTGTAAATAATTCTAATACACGTTATTACTTAATAATAGAGTGAAAATTCAGATATAGTTTATGTAATCAAATATTCCCATGTAACAAATTTGTTAAATAACTTTTATTAATGGAAAATTATTAATAAATAAATTTTGCATGATGTTGCCTTGTTCGCTGCTGCATGTAACTGGTTGTTATCGCGTCTCCCATGACCTTTGACTTTATATCACAGACTTATTGTGCCGTTAGAAAAGCCTTTTATGCAATCTAGACTCCCACATCCACATTCAGTACGTGCATAATGCAACACTACTCAAATATAAAATTAAAAACATGTCAACAGATCATTAGTTAAAAATAAACTCTGAGGTTGAACTGTCCTAAACTCTGATAATTAATATCTGACTGATTGTAAAGTCAGTTTCTTTGAAGAGCGAGTCATTTTCAAGACGATAAACTTTTATCAAAGATTATTTAAAGTCAGGTCACTTCAAGCCCTGACTGACTATGGTGCTATTCACTGAGTTCCTTCGCGGCGGGTGCTATTATATATTCAGGAAGGCTCTTCAACCTAGGAGTTAAAACTGCCTTCTCCTTGGATAAAATCTGAGTGTCTTCTGTTCCATAAGTACGTAATGAATTGCGATTATAGCGCTTCCCATTGGATATAATAATAATAATAATAATAATAATAATAATAATAATAATAATAATAATAATAATAATAATAATAATAATAAAATAATAATAACAATGTGTATAAACGAAACATACAAGCAGTATCCTTGGAGAGGGTTTCGGGGGGTCGACGCCCCCGAGGTCCGCTTGGACGCCAAGCTTATAAAATCTGGTGATTAAATAAAACTTGGTGCACAAGCGAAACTTTGCAAATGAAAGTTCCCATACTACTTGCGTGTCTTTTACTTGCAGTAATAAAGCTCACTCGAGACCAGAGGTTGTAGCTACACGATGTAGCGAGACACATTGTAGTCATATTCGGTAATAACGTTTTAAAGTTTTGTTTCCCAGAAAATTGTTGCGTAATAAAAGAAATACAGTACTGTAGTTTCCTGTATCCCAACCTGCACTACTACCAGGAAATATTTACCCACCATAACCCAGAATATACGGTGTGCGGCAAGCTGTTTTGAGAAATGGTGGTGGGAATGAGAGGGGGTAGTGGATAGGCAGGTAGGTAGATAAGGTGTGGACAGAGGTAATCAGTGAGTGAGAGGCAGATAGTTGGTGGGTGAGTAGGTAGGTGGGGGTAGGAAAACAGGTCCCAAGTAGGACTGTGTGTGGGTTATTTGTGTATTGCGTAAAAGGAGAATAGGATGTATCGAATGGGTAGGGAGCAGTGGATGGGCCATTTGTGGATGGAGAGGTGACGTAAGGGAAGCGAATTGCTGAATAGGTAGGGAAGGCACTGGGTGGTGTGCAGTTGGTGGATAGGTGGTGGTGGTGGGTCGTACCTTGGGTAACAGGTAGTAGACGGTAGTGGACAGGTAGGTAAGATGCAGGCAGGAGATAGTGGGTGAATAAGAAATAGACGGCAGGTAACAGGCGAGAGAACATGAGGTTAGTGAGTGCTTGGAAGGTTAACAGTGACAGCTTCCATAAGCCTACAACAACCTTGTTATCAGTGAAACACAGAAGAAAACGAAGCCACAAGAGAGGCAGAGGTTGTGAGAGAAGAATGTTTATAACATTCATCGTGGGAATAGGGAACAAGGGTGGTTGATGGTAAACAAAAAATAAATGGAAAAATTAAAGAATAAGTGTAAGTGTTAACTTATTCGCTGTTCTTCAAGATGACTGCAGAGATTGGAAAGCATGCAGACAGGTGATAAACACGTGAGAGGCTCATAAAAGACAAGGTTTTACCCGTTTAGGGGAAGATTTTTGTGGATTGTATGAACAATTTTCAGATGTTACGCAGTACCTGGAGAATGGGAGGCAGTCAGGTTCGTTCAAAGGAAGGGGAGGACAAGTTCAATTCCTTTGACCAAGAGTCCTTCACCAGCATCAAGGAACCTCCCTTGAAGGGAGTGTAGGAAGAAAGGAAATCAAATTAAAGTTAGAGACAGACTACCTATTAAGGATGACGGTGAAACACGTATAAATTCTCTGAAAAACAAGGGAACCGTGGCATGGTAGGCAACACTTGCCTCACACACTGAGTGTCTGTGGTTCGATCCCCTGCAAAAAGTGGAAACATGGGGCGTGTTTCCTTACACCTGTTGTCCAGTTCATCTAGCAAGCAAGTACCTGGGTGTTAGTCAACTGGTGTGGACGGCATCCTGGAGGGACAAGATATAAGGACCCCAAAGGAAATAAGACAGTACTCGATGACGCACGGACTTTCTAGCGTTATCTTAGGTGACTAACTCTCCAGGATTAAAAATCAGAAAAAAATCGTATCTTAAGTGGAAAGAGAGAGGCAGAAAGAGAGACACAAAGGACAGATACTAGTAAAAAAAAAAGATTTTTATAATCTAATACATATAAATAACCGAAGGGAGAAAAAAAAGTGAACAAAGACTAAATACAGTAGCCGAGACCTGGTTTAATATGAAATGTCCGGACATGTCTGCTGAATGTCACTTACAAAGGTACAAACCATACACCACAGTGACAGAAACAACAGGAGAATGGGATACATCATCGTTTATGTCAGAGTAAACCTAAACTGCTGCATTAAATGGGTTAAAAAAATCTGTAGGCACAGACCGGTCCGCGGGGGCGTTGACCCCCGCGGACCGGTCCCGTTGACCCTCTCCATGTATACAGACACCAAGGTGTAAGAATACATTTTCTTGAAAGACAAGAAAAGCTTACATTAATGTGTTCTATACTAAACCTCTGTTAGATTAAACTTCTAACCACTGAGAAGTTAAAGGTCTGGAGGGAGTGGATGAGCTGGAGGTAGTGGGGTGGGCAGGAAACAACAGGTGGTTAAGGAGGAAGTAGTGGATGAGAGATGAAGACTTACCAGGAGTACCACACCGTGAGGAAACCACCCAACAGGAGACAGAAGGTCCAGCGGTAGTGCATCCTGAGGATGAGACCATCGCAGGTGGCAGCACATATCTGGTTGGCTCTTGTTTTGATAACGTTTAAAATGCTCCCGAATATGGAGCGTATGTCCACACTGCCCGCGCCAATGGACGGCATCCTCGCTCCTGTAAAAGAGATTAAATATCGGTAAGATCACATAATGAGAAAGTATAATGGAATGACTAATGTCTCGTTGCCTAGTAACACTTCCAAGGCAACGTATTTCATTCAATTAGCAAGAAATAAAGGCAGTTCTAAGGTTAAACTACATATCTGTCATTGATAAGCCCTTTTTTAAAGTATATTGTGCACACCTTGACTTTTTATGAGCAAATTAAAATAGATGACATGTAAATCACATTATGCGTACCTCAGACTTATCACCCCTAATTCTATCCCTTCTCGTCAAGTGTCAAATATTTATATTCTCTGGAGTTTTTCTTAACTAAGAACAACAATGTAAATACACCAAGGGGAGAGTCTCAGTTTATTGTTGTGGTCTTCATTTCGGGGACTGGAGTGTTCTTGATTAATGGACAGGTGAAATATAGATTTAATAACCCTCGTGCAGCCGATAGGCTTAAAACCTTCTATAATGATGTGGATATAATAATCTTAATCATTCTGACGATCCAAGTTTGTTGTTGCCAAGCTGTACAGTATAATTTAAATAAGTTTGGGACGACTGTTATTATAACTCGTGTAAGATTTTCTTGAGTCTGTTTCCAATTTCTACGTTTAGTTTATAGATGTTGCAGTTTCCTCATCTCACTTTAAAATCTATGTTATATTACATCTGCCACTCATCTTAACAGTCATTTCTAAGCTCCTCAGCGTCGCTTTCAGAACGTTTTTGCCGTCATATTTTACGACGAACTTACGTTTATCTATTTTATTAGCATGATAAAGGAATATTATGAAAAATATAAATACTGTGCAGAAAATTAGTTTCAGTCTCCAAATACCAATCACTGCAATAGTCTCCAAATAGCAAGCAAAAATACATCTTAATACAGTTTCAATAAGTGCGATTCACTAGTGTAGAGAAAAAGCATGAAAAAATCCGTTAATATATTTATAGAGAAGAATTTTAGTAGCATTAAAATTGGGTAGGTAGGGACACGTAACTACTAATACACTCAGATAATTAATACATGTACATTCAAACATGCATAACCTCTCCGTTTTACACGTAGCACTTAACACGACAGCACTGTTATCACTTGACAAATCTACGAGAGCGTGTGAGGTTATACAGTAGAAAGGTCACTCACCAAAATTCACTGGATTATCTAAGCTATGGTAGTATGAGTGCACCAGCCGACCTCCGGAGCACTACTACTAACTGCTGAGTTTTGAGCTATCTCGAGGAAACCGCATACGTTATATGTCATCCTTTTATCATATAATATATATATATTATATGTATATGTATATTATATGTATATGTATATATATTATGTATATATATATAATATATATATATATATATATATATATATATATATATATATATATATAATATATATATATATATATATATATATATATATGTATATATATATATATTATATATATATATATATATATATATATATATATATATATATATATATATATAATGTGTGTGTGTGTGTGTGTGTGTGTGTGTGTGTATACGGTTCTCTTCACATATATGTCTTGTAGTCTTGAAGACTATTGTACTGATAAAGCCACTGGATAGCGAAACTCATACAAATAAAGATATCCAGATGACTCACGAAATCGTAATGACACGATTGCAAACAAACCATATCCAGATGTTGTACATGTGTCTCATTCGTCATCATGTCGTACTATATACCATTCATGTACATATCACACAACATATGAAAACCTGCCTTGTATGGGCCAGTAGGCCTGCTGCAGTGTCCCTCCATTCTTATGTTCTTATAAAAAAGAGGAGGAGCACTTCAGCAGGGCTACTTGCTCTACTTGCCACGTTAGGCAAGTCAAACTCACACTTACCCTCACTCGTGTACCCGACCAAGCTATTTTTAAGGGTACCCAAAGTTCTCGCTTCAAGTTGCATGGCTCACAGACAGGAAGCAGAGAGTGTCCATAAATGGGGTTAAATCCGAGTGGGGATCAGTAACAAGTGGCGTTCCACAGGGATCAGTCTTGGGCCCGTTGTTGTTTATAATATATATCAATGATCTTGATGAAGGAATTACTAGTGATATGAGCAAATTCGCCGATGACACGAAGATAGGTAGGATAATTGATTCAAACGTAGATGTTAGGGAACTTCAGGAGGATTTAGACAAACTCTACTCTTGGTCAGAAAAGTGGCAGATGCAGTTCAATGTAGATAAATGCAAGGTTCTGAAGCTCGGGAGTGTCCATAACCCTAGCACTTATAAGTTAAATAATGTAGAACTTAGCCATACAGATTGCGAAAAGGACTTGGGGGTTATGGTAAGCAGCAACCTTAAACCAAGACAGCAATGCCTAAGCGTACGTAATAAGGCAAATAGATTACTGGGATTTATATCAAGAAGTGTAAGCAACAGAAGTCCAGATGTCATACTGCAGCTTTATACATCATTAGTAAGGCCTCACCTAGATTATGCAGCTCAATTCTGGTCTCCATATTACAGAATGGACATAAATTCGTTAGAAAACATTCAGCATAGGATGACTAAATTAATACATAGCATTAGAAATCTTCCTTATGAAGAAAGATTGAAGACTCTTAAGTTACATTCACTTGTTAGACGAAGAATAAGGGGAGACCTGATCGAAGTGTATAAGTGGAAGATAGGTATTAATAAAGGGGATGTTAACAAGGTCTTGAGGATATCTCTCCAAGAGAGAACCCGCAGTAATGGATTTAAATTAGATAAGTTTAGATTTAGAAAGGACATAGGAAAGTATTGGTTTGGAAATAGGGTAGTTGATGAGTGGAACAGTCTACCTAGTTGGGTTATTGAGGCTAGGACTTTGGGTTGTTTCAAATTTAGGTTGGATAAGTACATGAGTGGGAGGGGTTGGATTTGAGAGGTACTTGCACATCGGAGCTTGTTTCTTGGGTGGCATTGAAAATTGGGTTGGTCAAATGAATTGTAAAGGACCTGCCTAGTATGGGCAACGAGGAGACAAATGTTTAACACAAACACGTCCAAAACGTTCGGAAATTTGTATTAAGATGCGTTAGGCTCACCTGGGGCTTCATCAATCCCATGTACTGATACGGGTTATGTTGGTTAATTGGGTCTCAAGCCTATCGACTACACGAGGGTCATTAAGGCTACATGTAACTTGATCTTAACCAGTCAAGAATACTTTTAGCCCTAAAACAGGGATAAGAGTAATGCTATGAAATACCATCACGAAGGATGAAGACACCAACGCAGTAAAATGCGATGCTTTATTGACAGCGTTTAGTGAGGGGCTATTGAGACGCAAAGATACGAAAAAGACAACTGGGTGAGCGAAACGTTGTCAATAAAGAATTGCTTTATACAGTATTTGCGTCTTTATCGTTCCTTACGGGTGAAACGTATTCTAATTCAAGTTTCTTGACATCATATTATTAAATATTAACAATAGCAACAGTAATAATAATAATAATAATAATAATAATAATAATAATAATAATAATAATAATAATAATAATAATAATAATAATAATAATAATAATAATAGTAATTTTTTTAAGTTTAAAAATGCTCTATTCGTTTTCTAAAAGGTCAAAAGATGGCAACAAAAACTTTATTGCAGGGACTTTATTGCAGAACAAAAAAACAATCGAATAAAATAAAAATTAAAATAAATGGCCTCGATAAGTACAACAACCAGGTGGCCAAATAAACAGGAAATGTTAATCATTGAACGATTATTATTATTCGAGGCGAGAAAAAGGTTGAATTGTTATAATAGGTAATGGCTCACTACATCCAAGTTAGCCCTTGTGTTTATACCACTTGTTGCGTCTAAGTCACCTCTGTGTGGATACCACTAGGTGATTCTAAGTCAGTCAGTACCTGTGTGGTTGTATTGATACCACTCATTGTGTCCAAGTCAGTCCTTGTGTAGATAACAGATTCATTGTGTTCAAGTCAGCCCTGAATCCAAGCCAGAATACAGCCGGGCTCCCCATCTCCAAGTCGGCTCCTGTGAGGGGAAAGTTGGACTCTCCGCTCCCAATCCAGCCTAATACATGTATTTTAAAACCTAAATGGCGGCATAGACATACAGGAGCGGCTACATTGCACGTACCCTAGCGAGACATTATCCTCCCATAAAAAAGAAAATGGATCCATAAAAGTGACCGCTAGCCAAACAAGACCGCCGTCGGCCGGCCTTCAGGTAGGTTACGCCTCAGAAGTGTTAAGATTTAAGAGCTTCAATTTTAGCCAGCCAGGGACACGGGTGGTCATATACATGCCAGTGTTAGTTTCCCTGTGTGTTATGATTGTCTGAAGGTGAGCACAGCAGTCTGGAGCGTCTTCTAAGAGATCTTATTAAGAACAAATTCTCAACAAATTATCAAACCGGAAATGATGACTGGACGACGTTTCGATCCGTCCCGGACTATTATCTTAGTACAACTTCAAAAGCTGTCCAATTTTCATTTCCGATTTATGGGTTAAATTGTGAGTTATTTCAGCCAAGATATCGTCTACCTGGAGGGCATTCCGGGGATCAACGCCCCCGCAGCCCAGTCCACGACCAGGCCTCCCGGTGGATCAGGGTCTGATCAACGAGGCGTTTCTGCTGGCTGCACTATCCAACGTCGAACCAAGCCCGTGATCACACCGCTTTAGGTAATTTTCCACTCCCCTTGAAGACAACCAGGGGGCTATTGGGAATGCCGCTAAGGCTGGGGGGAGGCGTTGAACATCTTGGGCCCCGGGAACCCTTTTTGTTTTTCTCTTACGGGCTTCTTTGAGTTATCATCCTCATTTTTCCCTTTCATCAAAAGAAAATAATATGCGCGATAATTAATTTGTCTTAAATGCACTGAATGCTGGTGAAGGGCTCTTGTTAGAGCGAAGCTCTAACAAGAAACCTAATTACCTCTCATTCTCTAGGTGCTCTATAACCCATACTAGTTTAAAATTGTCCTTCATAATAACAATAA